AGCTCTTTCCTCTATTTCCCTTGATTTTCCTCCTGTCCCACTATCATGCTCAGTCCCCACCAGGATTTCAGCACTTCCTCTTTGTTACATTCCCCTTTTGAAACTATAACTCTTTATGGAGCAGCTGGTGGTCTTGAACCGCTGACCTTGCAGTTAGCATCCAAGTAAATAACCCATTACACCACTTTCAGCCTCAGGGTAGGGTATTGGAAAATAGCAACTTCTTTCCCATTAAGAAAGGCTTTCTGGAAGAAATAAGTTGTTGCTGGTGTTAACTGGGAACCTAGAATAGAAAGAACCCAGTTCCCAAACCTTCATATCAAGTCTCCATTGGAAAGGATGGGAGAAGGTTTAATTGCTTTGTGATCTTTCCTGGGTCTAAGCACATAGATGTCTCTCTATGAATAGGTAGAATTCCACTTACTCAATTGTAGCTAATTCCCCAGTTAGCAAGTCTGACTCACTGATGGATGATCTCGAAGGGTATTTCCCACCACTGAGATGTCAGTTCTTGTGCTGTGGTGGCTGCACCTTGCCATAATGCTGTGAGCTCTGACACTGGTATTTCAAACACCATCAGGGTCACCCATGGTGGACAGGGTTCAGTGGAGCTTCCTGACTGACTCAAACTAGAAAGAAATAGTACACTTCTGAGAAAGCTATCCACTGAAAATGTTTTGAATAGCACATTGTCTGATATCGTGCCAGAAGATGAGGCCCTCGGGCACTCACAGACTTTAGTCCACTTTAAGGATGTAGATCAAGTGAAGCAAGTGGAACCTTCCACTGTGGATGTTACACGACTAATGAGAACACAGAGCTGCAACACCCATAAAAAGCAAGGACACAGCTCCCTGCCATTGACTCAGTGCTGACTCAGATTGCTCACTTGGAAACCTTGTGGGTTTCCAAAATGATAACTGTCATGGGAGTAGAAAGTCCAGTCTTTCTGCCGAAGAGCTGCTGGCGGTTTCCAACTGCCAACCATGTGGACCACAGCTCAATTTGGACCCTCTACATCTTCAACCTGGGGGTCATAACCCCTTTGGGGTTCAAACGACCCTTTCACAGAGGTCATCTGATTCATAACAGTAGCAAAATGACAGTTAGGAAGTAGCAACAAAAATAATTTTATGGTTGGGGGGCTGTCACCATAACATGAGGAACTGTATGAAAGGGTCGTGGCATTAGGAAGGTTGAGAACCACTGTTCTACATCATCGGTGCTCCCTGCAAGCATCCATAGGTAGTCAATGTGAAATGCACATGTATGAATGTGGGGAAAAGTACAAGTCATCAAAAAGTAAATGGAACATACAAAAATACAATGTATAAAAATACATTCATCTCCCTAGTCACTAGGGAGATGCAATGGAGTAGTATTGGCCATTTTGAATCAGTGCATATGGTCTGCTGTGCTAGAAATGACAAATGACAAGGAATAGTGTCACGTTCCTTATCAAAATGAACATCCCAAGGTCACTCTTAAAGTGCAGTGCTGTGTTTCCACACAATTAAAAGGAAGACAATTTAACACAATGTTATTTCATGTTTTAGCACCAATCACTGATGCCAAAGATTAGAATATTGAAGGTTTTTAACAGATCCAGCAGTCAAAAATATATTGGTAATTACCATTGATTGAAATGTGAAAGTTGGTAACAAAACAAAACAAAAACCAGCAGTTGGAAAATATAGCCGGGGTGGCAAAAAGACCTCCAGCGATTGCATGATGGAATTGGGTAAGACTACCTAATTATTTATTGCAAATAACTTTTTTTCAGCAACACAAATAATGATTATACACATGGGCTTTTCCACAGATTATACAGGAATCATATTGATAACATTTGTGGAAATCAATGATGGAGAATTTCAGTATCATTAGTCAGAACAAGGCCAAGGGCCAGCTGTGGAACAGGTCATCAATTGCTCATATATAAGCACAGGTTGAAACTGAAGGAAATTCAAACAAGTGTATGAGGGCCACAATATGCCCTTGAGCATATTCCACCACAATTTACAGACCAATCCGAATAAGAGACTGGACACATTGACCATCGAGGCCAAAGATCAAAGGAGTTTTGAGATCACATGAAGAACAGCATACACGAGGAAAGTAAAATGTTATTAAAGAGACAGGAAAGAAAAGGCCAAAGTGGATGTCAAAAGAGACTCTGACAATTACTGTTGAGCGTAGCACAGCTAAAGTATAAGGAAGAAAAGATGTTGCAAAAGAGCTGAACAGAAGATTTCAAAGGGCCAATCCAGAAGACAGAGTATTATAATAAAATATGCAAAGGCCTGGAGTTGGAAAATCTGCAGGATAGAAACACACTCAGCACCACCCATGCTGAAAGAACTGAAGAAAAACGCTGAGCCTCAAATCACAACACTGACAGGTTCTTTCGGTTAGCAAACTATTGGACAGTGCAGGGAAAAATTTACAAAAGATGGAAGAAATATGAGTCACTGTACCACAAAGATTCGGCAAACACCATGTCTTTTCATGATCAGTGGTAGGGAAGGAAGAAGTCCCAGCTGTACTCGCACTGGTGAAAAGCAAGGCTCCAGGAGTTGACAGAAACCTAAGGGAAGATTGAACACACCGATCTCCCGCTAGAGGTGTCAACTCATCCGTGCAAGTAAACCTGGAAAACCGAAAGGAAGAGAGTCACACTTGTGCCCATTCTAAAGAAAGGTGACCCATTACCAACTACTTTGAAAGGCATGCTATTTTTGAGCTCTGGTTATAGTAGGAGAAAAATGTGAGACAAAACTCCAAATCATAAAAGGGATCAAGTGTACTGGCTGGATAGACTGGTAGGTCCTCCAAAGCTATGGCCCTTTAGCCAACTTTCAGGCCTGGAACTAAACTCACCCATGTGTTAGAATAGTAGCTGTTTAAGATCAAAAGGTAGCAATCACCAAAGGAAAAAGTTTAGACTGTAAAGAGGAACACAAACAAGAAACAGGGAGGAAGCCAAACAAGCAATGATGTACTGAGGTCACTGAAGGGAGGTGTTGAAACATACTTATGAAAATGTACATTGATCTGCACTGCAAACCTTGACCTAATTCCCAAGAAAGAGATTTTAGAAATTGGTGGTAGGTGTGTGTGTGTGTGTGTTTTCCAACAGAATGCAGAAATTACCAAACACCATTACTAGTAACACACGTAAGTAAATTAGAAAACTGTTAGAGCAGTACGTTTACAGGCAACAGCCAGAGATTCAAGCTGTATCCAGAAGAGGCTGTGGAAGGAAGGATATCATTGCTGTTGTTCGTTTTCTAAGTAAATGTATCCAAATATATGGATCATGAGTTATAGATAACATTGTGAGGAATAAGAATTCCAGAATACTTCATTGTGCTCATGCATAATCTATATAGAACAAGGGCAGCTATTTGAACGGAACAGAAGGGTATCTGTAAACTGAGTAAATAATCTAAGAAGCAGAACCCCACGAAGAAAGATGCAGCGTCAGGATTGGAGGCCACTAAGCAGGCTGCAATCACCAAAAAAGGTTCAAATTCCCTGGGAAACAAAGTCATAGACATGGTGTGGGGAAAGTAGACAAGCATTACAGGGGTAATCTGAAGATAGCCACATATTTAAATTATTTCAACATGAACCTCAGCAAATGTTTGTCAGTAAATTTCTTGGAAAACCAATAGCTTAAGTAGGCACTTTACTGTATGACCAGATCAATACCAGGCTGGCTTCTAGCAGCAAGTGACCTTGATTCTCCCCCATCCGTGCAGAGCTGACCAGAGCTAGTTGAAACAACCAGCAGCAAGTGACCTTGAATCTCCCACACACACCTGCAGAGCTGACCAGAGCTGGCTAATGGCCCGCTTTATTGTCGACCTGTTGCTCTGCACCCTGCACGGCCCATTTGGCTCACTGCCTGCTTTGTTCTCGGTGCGCCACTCTGCACCCGGCACAAATACACCGGGAACCAGGAAGACACCTTACATTCCAGAAACCCAAACATACCTGTATCTCCCAATCCCTGACTACTTTACCTTATATGGACTCAAGACAGCCCAGTCACTTGTTCCCTGGCCATATAAGCACCACCCCTGTAGCCTGGGGCGCAACTCCCTCAGCACGGACACTGTGGACCCTGGGACTTCACCCAGGCTGGGTTTTTCTCCCCAATAAAGTCTGTTTGCTCTAATAAAATTGATTTGGTCTCTGGCACCTCTCGACTACCTTACATTTACCTTCCACCAGTCTCCTGGCTGAAGCCAGCAACAGGGCCATCCCCATGTCTGCAGTGGGGTTGGAGACTGCCTCTGGTGTGTTGGCCACTTTCACACCAAAGCGATCAATGAGCTTCAAGTCCAGGTGATCCAAACCTACTCCTCCATTGGCAATGATCTTCAAGGAGGGCAGGCTCTGCAGCAGCTCCTGGTTGATGGCTGGCTGTCCGGCCCATATGTAGACAGCTTGGATGGTTTGGCTGAACTGTGCTTTATTTTCCAAAAATTCCTGCATGGTAATGAGATTAAAGTGTTTCTGCAGATATCCAACATGATCCTCACATATACTAAGCGGTCCTTCAAATCCAGATACCAAAACCACAGGTAGTTCTTGATCTCCCATGACCTGTGGAAAGAAGGAATATGATTTCTGCAGAGAAAAAAGGCAGAGTTTTGAACCCGTTCATTCCAGCTTGAGCTGCTGCTGAGAATTTGCATTTCCACTCCAGAATCTATCCAAGATCCCCAGGGATTCCTACAGTTTGAGGATCATGTTGAGCTGTAGTTTCCAATTCAGTTTATCTGGGAGAGAAATGCAAATTCTGAGCAGGGGTAGAACCAGAAGGAACCAGTTTCAAACCTTGCTTTAAGAGACTAGCCACATGTTCTACTAGTCATCTGATTTCTTCTGAGATTGGAGTTCTTTTTATGTCTGCACAAATTCCTATGAATTCTGAAAGGCAAGGCATCTAGGACTTTGACTGAACAAAGTTCCTTTTCATTGCACCCACTCACCTCTGTCTCTAATTTCACTACCCATGGGTGGCCCAGCATCTGCCTCTGGTATGCAGGCATGTGTGCCCTAGAGTGTGGGATGAAGGTCTGGGGAGTCATTCTAAGATTTGGCCAAGAAAAGATTGGCTCTTTCTTGGATCCTCCCCCTTGGGTCGCCTGCTCTGGGCAGGTAGCTGTCATGCTGTGAGGCAGCCCTGGGCAGAGACTCAAACATAAGCCAGGAAACAGATCTGCCCCTGAGTGGAGTGGCACCTTCAGGGGTCACAGCCCGAGATCCTGAGTCTGAGGAAAGCAGCTAAGCCGCTTCCAGATTCCTGGCCCCCAGAAATGGAGAACAAATGTCTGTGTTTCCAGCCAGTAAATTTTAGTTATTGGGCTAACATTTTGGCAATAGTTTGTGCCACACCATTCATTCACCAGATTGTGTAACTGAAAAAAACATTGCTGCTGTCAAATGAATTTTTATGTCAACTCATTTATGTCAAATGCATTTTATGTTCCTAATTGAAAATGAGATGTTTCATGTAGTATATTTTTCCTCTCAAAAGCCCTGGTCGAGCAGTGGTTACGTGTTGGGTTACTAACACAAGGTCAGTCATTTGAAACCACTAATTGCTCTGCAGGAGAAAGATGAGGCTTTCTGCACCTGTGAAGATCTGCTCTGGGACCCATAGGATACGTCTACTCTGTCCTGTGGGTTGCTATGAGTTGAGGTAGTGAGTTTCTTAGTTGATTCTGCCTGTAAAAAGAAAAACTGGTTTTCCAGGTTTTGAGGCTAATAAATGCATTTTCTTTTTTTCTGGGGATAGCAAAGTTAAAAACATTTAATTGTTCAAGAGTAAAAGAATAATCGTTTTAAGAAATCTTGTATTTACTTTCTGAACTTTGAATAAAAGATAAGATGGTGTTATTTACAAGGACAGGGAAAGGCACCTAACCAGTCTAACTGATTTAAAACCGCACAGCTTAAAACAAACAACAACACCGCCCCCCACCCCACGCAAAAAAAAAAACAAAACAAACCCACAGCTGACTCATAGCCATTCCCCAGTGGGTTTCCCAGACTAACTGTTTTGGGGAGTAGAAAGCCCAGTCTTTCTCCAGAGGAGCTGCTGGTGGTTTCGAACAGCTGACCATGCAAACCTCAGCCCAAGATGTAATCACTACACTACCAGGGCTCCTATGTCTAACTAATGAGTCACCACATACCAGAAACGGGATACTGGAAGCCATGAACCTGACCATCAGAACCTTGCCAAGTGAGGACATTGCTGGGTGCCAGCCAACCAGGGACCAGCGCTGGTTTTTAACAACCCCAGACCTGAGCTCAAGGGCCCTGCAAGATGTAAGCCCACATGGAAGAAGCACACCAGCCTGTGCAATCACGATCACAAGGTGTCAAAGGGATCAGGTATCAGGCATCATCAGAACAAAAAAAATCATATCATTGTGAATGAGGGGGGATATGGGGAGAGGTCAGATGTACAGGCATTCCCTCCCCTGAAGGCAATCAGTTGCCAGACTGCTGTCTCATTCCACCATGGGTGGGCCTGCTCCCTGCCTTTGGGGACAATGGACAGGCTCCTGTAGGAGGGGTTTGCACCCTACTGATAATGGTTCCTATGGAGACCCAGAGACCACCCCCTAGACCACCCTCTCATTGCTGTGTAACCTATAGTGCAGCTCCTCCCTGCGAC